TTGTTTTCTCCTCCAGACTGTTCATCCAGCCTATCTTATCTAGATAGACCTGCAGAGATAATAATATGCACAAAAAATCAAGGCAAAGCAAGACAAAGTGACAAAAGAGAGCACAATAATGACAACAATGAAACCAATGATCAAAAATAAAGAAATAAAAATTTAAAATAAATTTTAAAAAGTAAAACCTATAAATAGATCAAGGTCTGTTTTTTAACCTCTAGGAGTGTCTGCCAGTCGAGTCCCAGGGGGTGCCACGCTCTGGCCCCAGAGTCTATCCACTGTGCTCCCTCAGGAGCTCCCTTCTCTGCTCCCCCCGCTGCTCTGCTGCACACCCTTAGTGTTTTGCCTCGGTGTGGTGGGGTTAGACCGAACCAATCCCGACACTGAGTCTCCAGGTTGTTAGTTTTTTAAAACATGTTTTTCTATATATAAAATCCAGGATAGGTAATTCTACAGGGACAGTAACTGGATTAATGGTTTCTTGGGAGTATGGCAGGAGAGTTTTGGGGAATTGGAGAGTTAAAAACGATGAGTATAAAAATGAAGAAAATGTTCTAAAACTGATTGTGGTGATGACTGTGCAATTCTTGATGTGGCTTAACTACTGAATTGAACATTTATATGCCAATAAAACCATTAAAAGAGAAAAAAATGAGCACATTTTCTCAGACATTTTACAAAATGGTTTAATAAAATTTAAAGTATATTATACCACATGAAGATTTAAAATTTTGTCATGCTGCTTGCAACAGATAATTATTGAAATGTTTCATTGCAATAATACTTATTTGTAAAGTTAAAGATAAATAAACAATATACAGCATGATTAAAATAATAATGAATCCATTACAAATTTTATATGTGTGTGTAAATTAAAACTAAGAACTTAAATTCAATTAAACTAAGAATTTAGATTAAAACTAAGAGTTTGAATGTTTGTTGTATTATTAGTGTAACTTTTCTGTGAACTTGAAATTTTTTCTCAATAAAGATTTGGCAAAAAAGAAAAAGGAAACTTTCTTGAGAAAGTCACTGTGCAGTTAGTTATACAAAGAAAGGTATATGACAAAATAACAATTTATAAACTATCAAGGGCTCATGAGGGAGGGGGGAGCGGGGAGGGAGGGGAAAAATGAGGATCTAATGCCGGTGGTTTAAGTGGAGAGCAAATGTTTTGAGAATGATGAGGGAAATGAATATACAAATGGCTTTACACATTGATGTGTGTAAGGATTGTGATAAGAGTTGTATGAGCCCCTAATAAAATGATTTTAAAATAAGCAATTAATTAATTAATTAAAAAGAAAAACAAAGAAAGGTAAGACATAGTTCTGGTTCTTGACCTTAATAATCATAGAAAAACCTTAAAAAGAAGAATAAAAGAAGACTTAGAAATACTTGGAAGACAGATATTAAAGCTAAATAAAATTTTCTTTCTTAAAATAATTACACATAAAAAAAGATTTACAAAATTTTTTTTTCTTTCTTTCAAACTGGGGCTTTCTAGCTCCCCCAACTATTTCCCATGCCTTAGTGTCCCTTCACCAAACAGGAAATTCAATTCTGTATGTCAATAAATCTAATTTTAACATGTTATTTCAATTATGACCAAATTAAAAAATTATACAGGAGCCAAATCAATGAACATAAATATAAATAGTGTTAATAAATCTATGACAACTTAGGAGTAAAACCTTTACCCGTACTTTAGTTCTGTTCTTTTTATTTTTTTCATTATGCGTCGACTCCGAATCACAGTGACCCCATAGGACCGAGCAGAACTGCTCCTCAAGGTTTCCAAGACTGTGATCTTTAGAGAAGCAGACAGGGACATCTTTCTCTCCTGGAGTAGGCTGGTGGGTTCAAATCACCAACCTTTCTATTAGTAGTTAAGTGCTTAATGACTGAGCCAGCAGGGTTTGTTTGTTTATTTGTTTTTATATATGCATATTTAACTGGAATTAACAGTCTTATAAACTGATCACTAAATTTAGGGGACCAACTAGCAATAGAAAGGGGATCATTGTTTTCTCATTTACTCCAAAAAATAATAGTTGGTAGCTGTCCTCTTCTGATATATTAGACCCCCGCAAGGAAAGAAATTTCCATTAGGCCCCAAATTGTGACTGGTGTCACAAACCCATGAGATTTGGTGGAGGTCTCCCTGAGGCATGGACAGCAAAAAAGTGGGTGAAGGGAGGTGTCAGACAGTGTAAGATATGACAAAATAACAATAATTTATAAATTATCAAGGGTTCATGAGGGATGTGGCAGGGAAGAAGGGGAAAAAATGAGGAGCTGATACCAAGGGTTCAAGTAGAAAGCAAATGTTTTGAGAACGATGATGGCAACAAATGTACAAATGTGCTTGACACAATGGATGTATGTATGGATTATGATAAGAGTTGTACAAGCCCCCAATAAAATGATTTAAAAAAAAAAAGATTTGGTGGAGGTGAGGGCAAAGTATAAACTAGTTTCCTTCAGTGTTCCACCCATTAGGCCAGGGGTTTCCACTTATTTTAAACTTTAGAATCCCATTTAAAAATCTTATGTGGAAACACAATAGGTAAAACAGAGGAAAAAAAAGGTATTCTTCAGACACCTTCCTATTGTCCCATCCTATCCCAGGAACCTCGTAAGAGTCCACCATGGTACCTGAGGAACAATGTTAAAAATAATATATCAAGGAGCAAGGATTCCCTCTAGTATGACTTTACCTGAGGAATCTGTCTCCTGAAAAACTTCTAAATATGTAAGAACAGCTGATGTTACACATAGAGGAAAAACTAGTGGGTTATACAGAAATGAGAGGCAAGAGCTGGGAAAGTCTTAGTTTCCCCTTTTTCCAAAAACCTGAAAGAAATACACATACACACACATTTTGTTAAACATGCTTTTCTTACAGAAAATGCAATAGAATTATATTTCCATCAAAAGTTATTTTTTGTTTTACTAGAAATAATACAATCAAGTGCTAGCTGGAAAAGGTAGACTCTCTAATAAGAAAATTAAGATCTAGGTAAATGAGAATGTTTATAGGAAACAATAGAGCAAGCAAAAGTAAGAGAAACACTGTACAGTGGTGAGGCATTGGGTATCTTGGGTCTCAGGAAGAAAAAAAATAGAAGAAATTTGGAGAGTCACAGAAAATGATATGTAATGATTGATTTGACATTTCAAAATTGCCAGGGTGTATTTGTAAACAGTTCTACATAAGAAACACATTACCATGTGTGTATTCTACTCAGGTAATTTGGTTATCTGACTATATTAAATGGTATTGCAGGCCTATAGGGCTCCACAGAAAGGTCACTTAATTTAGAAAAAGGCAAGGCAAAGCTATACAATGGTGGGTAATGCTGGTTAAAGTAAGGTCCTCTGTTGGCTGCTGTTTGTTTTCTTACCTCTGCTGGTAGAGGACTAGTAGTTATTGTCTTGACTGGGTCATGGGACACAGCTAGGGTTCCTGCAGAGGAAGTTCCATTCATTGTTAATTTGGCAGCATCAGCAACTTCTCCATTGGGCAAGATCCCATCAGCAAACCAAACTCGCCTCTGCTCTCTGGGCTGAGCCACTGGAGGGGCCAGAAAAATAAAACAGGTATCAATGTGCCATTGGTACACTTTCTAACATCAATGAAGAGCAGGTCACCAATTCCAGATGTACAAAGAAATCATTATTTAGCATCTTAAAATTATAATCATCAGAACTGTAACTGTGTTTAAAAGTAGTTACAAATAAATAAAAATAAACATTTGATATAATTTAGTTCTGTAATTTATAGGCAAAGATTCACATCACTTTGCTTTAAAATGTTAAGATCTCTTAAATTCAACCATAACTATGTTATATACTCTGCTCCACATCACTGTCAAGAAACTAAGGAAGGTTTTTTTTTTTAAGTGCTTAGGAAGTAAGTTAATAATAGGGAAAACAAAAAACAACCGTAGTAATTAACTTTACACCTAAAAATAAAAGGTGTCTCAGAACTCAAATAACTGGGAAAATATTTTTAAAGCCAAAAGATGACCCCAAAGAATGCTGAAGAATTATATTCATTAATAAAGGAAGAATTGACACAGATATCTAAGAATTTAAGCAAATTGACCAGATCTTTGGCTAAAGCATTATAGAAGAAGAAAAAGACTGATCTGGTAGTGTAGAGTAGGTGGTATTTTTATAAAAAGGCAGGGAAAACTGAGTCTGAGTAATCTCTTTAAATCCAGTTATGGAAATCAATTCAACCAACCGAAACAAAGAGACACAGGAAGAATAGCAAAAACAACATGAAGTTAAGAGAAGAAAGGCTTTAAGAAAGAAAACCTGAATTCATAAAAACACAAGGAACATGCTTAAGGAATGATCTGAAGAGAAGGGAAATGGGGAAGAGTATGGTGACAATAAGTCTTTGATCTTCAAAAAGGGACAAGGCTCTTTAGCCAGGGAAGGGGCTAGAAGACATAATGTTAATGAAGGAAGGTAGACTTCAATTATCAAGGGAAATCTCTTAACAAGATCACTTTCAGTAAACAAATAATTGTTTTCTCCTCATAATCTCAACCTAACAAAATATCTTTCTTTATGATAATATCATAGCCATAAAGGCATAATAAATCAAAGTAACTTGAATGCCTATAATTTTCTACCTATCGTATGACATAATCAGACTGAGAGTCCTAGTTTTATAAAGGTCTAAGTATCTAACAGAGTCCTGGTGGTGCAGTGGGTTAAGCAATGGCCTACTAACCACAAGGGCAGCAGTTTGAACCCTCCAGCCATTCAGTGGGAGAAAGAAGAGGCTATCTTTTCCTGTAATGATTTAGTCTTGGAAATTCTATTCTGCAATTGTACTCTGTCCTATAGAGTCTCTTTAAGTTGGAGTCTACTTGACTGGAGTTGGTTTGGTTTGGTTTTGGTTATGTGCCTAACATAATCATTTTATATTTGTGTATGAATAGGCTGCAAATGAAAGGACAGATGGCAATGTGTATATTGTTAAAACACAATACTGAAACGTGTTGGCCAGGAAGAACTCTCACTTTCATCACTTCTAAAACATCTACAGAGAACACTGAGGTAGGCATGAGGCTAGAATTCTGCAGGCTGACTTCCATTTTGGTTCTTCTTTTTAAGTAAAAGCAGTGTAATTACTCCATTCTTAAATTAGAGAAAATATTGGCATATTTTCAGAAGTGTCTTTAAAATATCAGACAACACAATATTCTTCTTTACCTGCCCAGGAATAGTTTCAACACATTTCTCACCTTGTTCTTCCACTTGTATAACCACCCAAAGGGACTTACTTATCTGCAGTGTTCTAAAGATCTGTGCTGTAAAGTCATTATCAGCACCTTTTCAGAGGAACTTGGTGAGGAAAAAGAGAGAGAATAGCACATGATCCCCTACCTTCTGCTCCAGGGTGCTTTAAAACTCCCACAGGTACCATCACAGTGGGAGGTGGCGAGCTCAGAGCTCCTGAGGCCTGAGCTTGCTGCAAGGGAGGGATAGTAGAACAGTATTCAGCAGGATTGTTAGGGTTAGGGCTCTGGCTTGAGGCACTCATCATGTTCTCCCAGGCTTGAGCTAAAGCAAATACAGACACAGTCAATGTGAATGGATTGCAAAATATGGACATCAAGACCTCCACAATATTGGGCAAATAAATGTAGCTCCTCCTCATTAACAACATAGCATGTCTCTTCCAGCTAATGAAGGTATTAAGGAGATAGGTGGTTTGAGTCAATAAAGGAGACCATTTAGCTAAGTAAACTATTAGAGTGGGACAAATTTTAAAAATCATGTGACATTTCTGATACTAGGTTTATAGATCAGTCTGTGATTAATGACTAAGCTTCAGACTTCTTTAAAGGAGAGCCTAACATTTCCTTATGGGGGACTAAAGCAACATCAAATCCAACAATTTTCAACTGGGATAGCATATGTCTTTTTTTGTTTGTTCATTTAAATGTCTTTTATATAATTCTATCAACAATCAAAATCAGGGGCTAAAATATCATTACTCCATTATATGATGTTTTAGGGTTCCATTTCAGGACTTTCAGGATTTTAGGTAAAATCTCATGTGAAAAATCCTGAAACCTCAAGATTGGGAGATCACATTTCAGCATTATTGTGAATTCTCCTTTTGTACAATCATCACCCTGGGTCAAAGCATCCAGCAATAACAACCATTACCTATATTTGATGTGTTTCCATAGCACAGAACCCAATTGGACATGAAAATGTGCTATCGTATGTGTGTCCAACAATATAAATAATTAAAAATTTGTTAAAATTGTAAATACCCTAAAATGTTACTAAATACTGATATTATCAAGTACTATCTTTAAAGGCAGTAGGATGAAAAGTACTATAGAAATAAAAGCTACTAAACGTTATCTTCTAAGTTCAGGCAATAACACATGCCTAGGAATAGAAATCAGATATTTTTTTTAAAAACCCATCTTTTCAAAAATCTCGTTTAATATAAAAGAATGATCCATAAGATTTTGAATACTTATCATCTCCAAATTGCAAGACAAAGCGAGTAACAAAAGCTATATTCCCCAGAAAGCACTGGCAGGAAGAGAGGGAAGGAGAAAGAGAAAACAAGAAAAGGAAAAAGAAACAGGGAACACTGATAAGCATCAAATTAAATAGTTAGGAAAAGACTGGACCAAGCCATGCGAGTGGAAAGATGCTGGAAAAACCAGGAAGTGCAGATTACCTTAAGGATCCCTTGTTAAGGGTCTCCTTTACTTCATAAAAAGTATTTCATATGAATCCTCTACCATTTCCTTCATCTTTAGCTATGCCAAGTAATAATAATTAGCTATCAAGTTGGAAGACCTCATCAAATAAAGGAAGTATTAGTTACCATAATTAAGCAGCATACTCTTATGTGGGGATATGTTTAAGAGAACGACAGCAGTGGAATAAATATCATCAACTGAGCAACCAGTGAAATAAGTACCACTGAAAAAGTGGCCCATAAGAGTAGAGAAAACGCATCATATTTGATCAAAATGATAAGAATTCAGAAATGGGAGGAAATTGAGTGGATCACAGGAGACTCGAACACATTAGATTAACTTACATGCAATACGTTAATAAGCCAGCAACAGGAAAACATTACTATGAGCAATGCAGACAGACAGAGCAGGAAAGGTCTCAGCAGGTAAGTTTCTGCCTCAGGCAGCAGTGGTGTGTCTGATTTTATTTAGTAACAGTTCATAAGCACAGCAATGGGCTTTAGTAATAATCTGGCAGCTGTACAAAGATGTAGCCAAAGAGAAAATACTAAATAGCCTGACCACTTTTATTTATATCTCTTTAGAAGAATACTCACTTTTAAATGTATATACTCTTGACTTTATTTCCAGTTCCATAAAAGATGTGCATTGGATAAATTTTATTATCTACCCATATTCTCACCCCCCCCATATTCTTTTTACAATGAGACAAATAAATTTAAAACCTTTACGCTTAACATAAATACAAGCAGCATTAAGGAGGCAACTGATAAATGAAATGTTATCATTGACCCAATATTCTAAAATGTTTATTTTTAACAAGATGAATATAATAAGGTATTAAGAAAATGTATTCTATGTAATTAAGATATTCCCTAGATAGTTTATCTTTAAAGGAAATTTTTGGCCCAATTTAAATATGTCATCATCTAGGTGGCTAGTAATTGTCTGCTCCCATTATGCCTTTCTCCCCAGCAAATACATTAACAGCTACAAAGCACTGGATTTAAACAAGAACTTCCACTTTTCCAGCCAAACTTACCTGGCTTTAGCATTCATGCAGTAAATTAGGCACAAGAATTCTGCAATGCTAAAAATATTTTCAAAATTGTAGAAGTAATAGCTCAATATTTTCAGTTATAGTTATGACATTTGAGAAAATGAGCAACTTCTTAAGAAAGGGCAGTAAAAACAGCAGCCTTTCCAAAGGAATTCTCCTGTTCTGCTTCAGTAACTGTAAAAGCAAACCGTCCTAATACTTACCATTCATTAGCACTGAATGGCAGATGACACAAACTCTAGCTTCTTTTCTATCCATGTATAACAGCTTACATTTCAGGCTACAGCAGGAAGCACAGAAGACCTGTGTGTAAAAAGAATATAATAGTTTACTTAGGATTCTAAAACAAGAGGAGTGAAGCATATGGAATATTATTGACTAAGAAGAAACAGATTTACCAAAAACTTCAAAAGATTCTCATGAATATATATGTTTAACAAATGATATTTCTAAGTATTTATGTACATTAACTATTTATGCTACAAATAAGGGGGGGGCTTCAAAAAATTAGAAACATTTATTCCATTTTTTTACAACTTTTGAAGCCCCTCATATATTCATAAATATAGAATATATAGGAAGCAAAGTTATGAAATTTCTTATCCACAGCTAAGCATTTTGAAGAAATGAGTCACTAGGCCTAAAAACTCCAGACTATAATTAGGGGAATATCAAGGTCAAATTCACACAACACAGTTCACAAGAAAATGTTCCACATCCTACTTTGATGAGGAGTGACTAGGGTCTTAAAATCTAGTAAGTGGGGTTCAACTATTGATCTCCTCCTTGGGAGCAAAGAAGAATGAAGAAAATCAAAGATACATAAAAAAAAATGAGACCAAAGAACTAATGGACCACTGGACCTAGCCTCCATGTCTTTGAGACCGAAAAAACTAGATGGTGCCTGGCTAACACTACCAACGACTCTGAAATGGGTCACATTAGAAGGGTCTGGATAGAGTGGAGGGGGAGAGGGATAAGGAAGAAAACTCACAATCATTATTTTTAAAAGGTCAAGTTTACTAATAGGATAAATACTGGTGGAGCCTCTGAGATTATGTATGGCTGTTAGTCACCTGTCAGGTATGGACTTAAATTCACCCAAATGGCTGAGTTTTCAACAAAACAATAGACAGATTCATAAGACGAACAATAACATTAAGGAGGTACAAAACTCATTGCCATTTAGTCAATTCTGACTCATAGGGATCTCTGGACAGAAAGGTTCCTGTGGTTGGTTTCCAAGGCTGCAAACCTTTATAGGTCCAGAAAACTTCATCTTTTTCCCACTGAACAACGGGTGGGTTCAAACTGCTGACCTTGTGGTTAGCAGCCCAACTCGTAACCCACGACACCACCAGGGATCCTTTAAGGAGGTATGGCACTCCTTGACACAATCAAGCGTTTGAGATGAAAAGGGCAGCATTTGCTAAGGCAAAGTTCAGAGGGTAGCAAGGGTTAGGAGAGAAGGAGGAATGACAAGGGTTTGAAATAGGGAGAACAAGGAATGAGAAGTGTTGCTTGCATATTAGATTATAATCAATGACATGAAACAAAAGATGTATGGCTTGTTTTCTAATGGAAAACAGATTTGATCTGTAAACTTTACCAAATTCACAATATAAAGTTTTAAAAAATAAAAAATAATTTTAAAAAATTTAAATGCAGCTCAGGAAGCTGAGCAGGAAACCCAATTCAAAAACAAGTCTGTCAGTAATAAGTGAAAGCGTGGGCTAAAAATAAAAATCTTAGTCAAGATCACATCTAAGATCACATTATAAATAAGAGGGAGAACAAACATCAGTGCTGTCCTTACACAAATTCCTATATGAAGTATTACATAACATTAGTATTTACAGATCATTACATTTGCTATTCCTATTTTTGAAAACAATATAAAAATGAACAACAACAAAAACCCATTGCCTAAACTCAATGTCAACTCATAATAACCCTACAGGGCAGAGTATAACTACTCATATGGTTTCCAAAGCTGTAATCTTTATAGAAGCAGACTACCATATCTTCTTCCCTTGGAGATACTGGGTTCAAACCTCCAACCATTAGGTTGGCAACCTAGAGCTTAACCACTGTGCTATCATGGCTAATAAAAGCAATATAGCAGGATGAAATATCCAGAGATAGGGATTTCTGGGTTCTGACTTGTATTTCACTACTCTTCTATGTGGAATGGTCACACTGGCCTTCTCACTGGTTTTTACGATGGCCAGGTAAGGATAAATCAAAATATACAAACCAATCATAAAAGTAAGGATAACACCAAACTCAATGCCACTGAGTCCATCCTAACTCATAACAACCGTATGGACAGAGTAGAACTGCCTCTGTGGGTTTCTGAGACCATAAAGTTTTATGGGAGCAGAAAGCCTCATCTTTCTCCCAAGGAGCAGTTAATGGGCTCAAACTGCTGACCTTATGGTTAGCAGTCCAATGCATAATCCACTACACCACCAGGTCTCCTTCAACACAACCCAGCTATAGGAAATCAGAACAGGCAATCAAAATTGGTCATGCTGAGTGTCTCCCTCATTACTACTTTCTGGGTTTTGCTCCTAATTATCTTTCTCTATCTCATTCCTTTTACACCAGGCAAGAAGCATCTCCTTAGATTTCTATTAAGATCTATTTTCCTGAAGATTCATTTGGACACTTTATCACAAAGAAGTTCACACTGAAAGCAGACAACTGTTTTCACAGTAGGGTAAATTCTACTTTGACAATTTTGATGACAAAGAAGTATCCCACATCTTCCTAAATTGAATCAAAGAATAAGGGTAAATTACAGACAAAATGAGATCACCATCTTCCTTCATACAAATATAATTAGTATACCAAGCTATTATGGTTACCCATTTATATTTATCAAAGGACTTCAATTATAAAAATTTTTTTGTAAAGTAGGATATATTGTCTGTATTTTCCATCTGACAATACACACTGGGGGATGGACAACAGAAAAGTGGGTGAAGAGAGACGTCGGATAGTGTATGATATGACAAAATAATAATTTATAAATTATCAAGGGTTCATGAGGGAGGGGGGAGCGTAGAGGGAGAAAAATGAGCTGATGCCAGGGGCTTACGTGGAGAGGAAATGTTTTGAGAATGCTGAGGGTAACAAATGTACAAATGTACTTTATACAATTGATGTATGTACGGATTGTGATAAGAGTTGTATGAGCCCCCAGTAAAATGATTAAAAAGAAAAGAAAAAGATTGACAGTCTCAGAAACAAACAAAAAAAACCCACAACACAATAAGCTTGGGTGGTTAAATGGTTTGCTCAAGTTCACGGCAATGTATATAAACACCAGGCATTTTACACATATTATCTCACTTAATCTTAAAATGTTTAAGAAGGTACTCATTTATTCTTAACATAAAGATCAAATAAAATTGGCCAAGGTTTTATAGTTACTAAGTTACATAGTAAGTTTGACTCCAAAGATTCTGCTCTTAGCCACAATTTACAAATTTCATTCTAATTTTCAGAATTGACTTTTCTTTATTTGTCATTGTGTAAGAATTTTCTAGTATAAAGTAGTACCAAGGAGAGAGAGAACACTATGCACAGGAAATGACATACGCACAGGTCATATAAGTGGAAGAACAGCTTTACTAAGGAACTGAAACAAAGTTACTGTGGCTAGAGACCTTGAGAGTTAAAGGACACAGAATGAGATGTTGCCATATTACACCAAGGCTCTGTGGGTGGTACTAATATTTTTGACCTTTTTTACACAGCAAATGGAAATCACTTTTGCATGCTAGACTTGGGGGGGGGAGGATTTCAGGCTAAACTGGGGGTCAGTTTGGGTGGAACAAAATTTGTTAAATACTAGTGGCATAGCTTCCAGCATCATAACAACACACAAGTCACCACATGATGACAGACTCAGAAGCAAGTAGGGATAAAAAGCCTAGTGAGGAGAAAAACACCTAAAACAGAAGGCAGTCCAAGAGGACAAGTAAAACATTACAATATATGCAAAGACCTGAAATTAGAAAACTAAAAGGGAAGAACATAGCAGAAGCTGAAAAAACTGAAGAAAATATCCAAGCTTTGAATTGTAATATTGAAGGATTCAATAGGTAATATATGGAATGACACAGGGATGAAAGGGGAATAAAGAGAATATAGAAGGTTAACAATGATGAGTACTAGAAAGAAGAAAATGTTCTAAAATTGACTGTGGTGATGATTGCACAACCCTTTTTAATTATGATTGCACTAATGAATTGTATTCTATGTGTTTTATATATCAATAAAACTGTTCAAAATAAAAAGGAATACACAGAGACACAGAGCCACTTTACCAAAAAGAATTGATCAGCATATAGCCATTGCAAGAGGTAGCGTATAATCAAGAACCAATGTTACTGAAGGAAGAAGTTCACACTTTACTGAAGGCATTAGTGAAAAATAAGGCTCTAGGAAGTGACAAGAATACCAATTGGAATGTTCAAAAAAGTGATGAAGTGCTAGAACCACTGATCAATCTAAGGCAAGAAATTTAGAAAACAGTCAGCGGGGCAACTGACCAAAATATACCTATTGTGCCATTCTAGAGAAAAGTGACTCAACAGAAAGCAAAAATTATCAAACAATATCACTAATATCACACACAAGTAAAGTTTTGTGGAAGAACAAATTTAAAAAACAACAGTTGCAGCAGTACATTGACAGGGAGCTGTCATAAGTTCAAAATGGATTCAGGAGATCTGGAACAAGGGATGATGTCATTGCTGATATCAGATAGATCTTGGCTGAAAAGCAGAGAATACCAGAAAAATGTTTGCTTTTACTTTATAGACTATGTGAACACATTTGACTGTGTGGATCGTAATAAACTATAGATAACATTGAGAAGAATGGGAATGACAAAACACTTAATTGTGGTTCATGTGGAACCTGTACATAAACCAAGAGACAGTAATTTTTAACAGAATAACTGCATGGTTTAAACTCAGAAAGGTGTGTGTCAGGGGTTGTATCCTTCCACCATACTTAATCTGTATGCTGAGAAAATAAACTGAAAAACTGAGCTATATGAAGAAAGTAGCATAAAAGATTGGAGGGAGGCTCATTATCAATCTGCAATATGCAAATGATACAACCTTGCTTACTTAAAGACAGGAGAACTCATATTGAGAAAACAAAAATCCTCACAACCAAACCAATATACAAAATCATGGTAAATGGAGAAAAGATTGAAGTCATTCATTTCATTGTAGATCACTGGATCCATAGTTAACGCTAATGGAAACAGCTTTCTCACGTAA